TGTCCAATGGCTCACTCCCCAAGCAGCCACAGCAGTTAGAGCTGAGCCGCCGATCCGAAGCCAGAAGTCCAGAGCCTTTTCCAGGTCTCCCACGCAGGTGCAGGGTCCCATGGCTTTAGGCCATTCTCCACTGCTTTCCCAGGCCACAGGCAGGGAGCTGAACGGGAAGTGAAGCAGCTGGGACATGAACTGGCGCCCAGACACTATGTTGGTACTTGCAGGCAGAGGATTAGCCACTGAGCTGTCACTCCACCTAGCCCAGAGCTAGGTGTTAAATCCAGGCCCTCAAATATAAGATGCAGGCATCCTAATCCAGAGCCTTTTTAAAAATCATTGATTCGTTTATTTGAAAGGGAGAGTTACACAGTGAGAGAGAGAGAGAAAGAGTGTGTGTGTGTGTGCATGAAAGAGCGATCTACCCCCTGGTTCACTTCCCGGATAACAGTGGCCAGAGCTGTGCAAGAATGCAGCCAGGAGCCTAGAACTCCAGCAGGGTTCCCTTATGGATGCAGACTTCGACCTGGTAGCCATAGGAGATGCTGGCATCGCAGGGAGTGGATTTCCCACTGTGCTACAGTGCCAGCCCCAGCCAGTATGTGAAACATGCGGCTGAACACCCACACGGGTGAGCTTCCAGTTTAGCTCCCCGGCGACTCTAGTCACCTTGAGCATTTAATTTACCTGGTCTCAGGTCCGTAATGTATGCTGTGAGGATAATAGCGCTCTGGCCCCTGCGCTCCCAAGGACATGGTATTGTAACGAGCAATTAGCCCCCGCAGCCCAGACGCTGAGATCTGCTCATAACTGGGCTTTATTCTTAGCTGGCAGACACAGAGAGCGCGTGTGTCTGCCTCAGCACACGGTGGTTTGGAAGCACCGAGAGTCAGCAGTCGGAGGCCGCGAGCGACGTTGGTCGGAGCACCTTTGGCTGTTTTCTAGGGAAGCTCTCCTAACTGACTATATGCACCTAAGTAAAGCCATTTTAAAGACTTATTTTTGTTATTTGAAGGGGAAAGTTAGAAAGAGGGAAAAGAAGAGATTGAGATGCTATCCCCTCATGTATTCCCCCAAATGTACGTAGCAGCAGCAGGACTGAGCCAGGAGCCTGCTGCTTCCTTCGGGTCTCCCACATGGATGCAGGGGCCTAAGCACTTCAGGCATCCTGTGCTGCTTTCCCACGCACAGGATCAGGGAGCTCAAGCAGAAGTAGGGGAGCCAGGACCTACTGCTTTGCTGCTCCTGTACAGCAGCAAATCCCAAACTTGTATATGGGATACAGCACTGTAAGCAGAGGATTAGCGTGTTACGCCACTGTACTACCTGAATTTGAACTATGTAAAGTGCCCTCATCCATGCATACATATGTGTATTACACATTTTATTTTATATATTTTTTAAGATTTATTTTATTTTTATTGGAAAGTCAAATACACAGAGAGGAGAGAGAGAGGAAGATCTTCCATCCGTTGATTCACTCCCCAAGCAGCTGCAACAGCTGGAACTGCACGATCAGAAGCCAGAAACCCAGATCCTCTTCTGGGTCTCCCACGCGGGTGCAGGGTCCCAAGGCTTTGGTCCATCCCTGACTGCTTTCCCAGGCCACAGACACGGAGCTGGAGGGGAAGTAGGGTCACTAGGACATGAACTGGTGCCCACATGTGATCCTAGGTACATGCAAAGCATGGACTTTGGTTATTAGGCTATCTTGCTGGGCCCCTGTAATTTAAAAAAAAATATTTATTTTGATTGGAAAGACAGATTACAGAGAAAAAAAATTTCCATTTGCTGCTCTACTCCCTTAGTGGTTGCAATAGTCAGAAATGAGCCCATCCAAGCTAGGAGCTTCCAGGTCCCGTTCCCCCCCCCCCCCCCGGGTGCAGAATCCCAAACGTTGGGCCGTCCTCTATTACTGCTTTCCCAGGGTTTAAGTTGAATGGTTGTGGAGCAGCTGTGACACAAATTAGAATCCAAATGGGATGCAGGTACAGCACATGGTGACCTAACCAACTACACCACTACAGCACTGGCTGCCAGGCAGGTAACATAATTGCTGTGCCCAATACTCGCCTGAATAATTTATTGCATTTTAAAATTACCTTTACTAATGTGAGAGTCACAAGATACAAAATTAGTCATTTAAAGTGTATATTCCAGGGCCTGGAGCAATGGCTAAATCCTCACCTTGCAAGTGCCAGGGGCTCCTATGGGCACATGTTTCTGTCCTGGCAGCCCCACTTCCCCTCCAGCTCCCTGCTTGTGGCCTGGGAAAGCAGTGGAGGACGGCCCAAAGCCTTGGGACCCTGCACTTATGTAGAGACCAGGAAGAAGCTCAGCTCTGGCCGTCGCGGTCACTTGGGGAGTGAATCAGCGGGCAGAAGATCTTCCTCTCTGTAAATTTGACTTTGCAATAGAAACAAATCTTTTTTTTTTTTTTTTTAAAGTATCTAATTCAGTACATTCCCAGTAACCACCTCTTCTGTCTAATCCCAATGATTTCACCTTCCTGAAGGAAGCCTTATCCTGACTAGGCACCTGCTCCTAAGTACCCCACCTTGGCAGTGGCCCACCCTGTCTCCTGTCCATAGGGATTTACCCGCCTGGAATGCTTCATTTAATCAATCATGCATGTACCTGGTGTCAGCTTCTTTAATCCAACCTAATGTTTTTGAGGGTCCTCCAGATTGTAGTGATTGTCAGTGTTTTCTCAAATTTATTTACTTATGATTTGAAAACCAGAGAGAAGGAGAGCCCCCTTCGGCTAGTTGGTTCCGCACCTTTCTGCAGCAGTCCAGGTGGGGTCAGGAGCCAGGAACTCAGTCCGGATGTCCCCGGCCAGCAAGGCCAGGACGCAGGCGCTGGACATTGGGGTGTTTTCACCTTCTGGCTGTTGTGAGCACTCCTTTTGAACACGTGTCTACACCCTGGAGCCAGCTTGATTTTCGCTGAAGATAAAATCAGCTTGCATGTACTCACCAGCTAGGTACGGAATCAGATTAGAACCACTGCGTCACCCACTGATGTCACCAATGTTTTGCATTTCTGGATAAAATTCACAGGACCTGAGAACTGTTTACCCCTCGCCCAGCGGCTCCACGGCCTCAGAGCACACAGTCTCCGCGGAGGCCTCAGAGCACGCAGTCTCCGCGGAGGCCTCAGAGACGGTGTGCACTGTGCAAGGTGGTGGCCTCTACATGCAGCTGTTAGCTGAGAACATACGGTAAGGCGTTGGTTGCCTCCAAAAGGTTTCCATTGTACAAATATACATGGAAAACTATGTAAAGATTGACAAAATAAAAACAATTATTATTTAAAAAAAATATGTACATGGAAGAGCTTGACATTCTCTCATCATTTTTTTTTTAAATTGCATGAAACTGGGGCCAGCTCGATGGCTCAATTGGTTAATCCTCCCCCAGTAAATGCTGGCATCCCATATGGACACATATTCCTGTCCTGGCTGCCCCATTTCCCGTCCAGCTCCCTGCCTGTGGCCTGGGAAAGCAGTGGAGGACGGCCCAAAGCCTTGGGACCCTGCACCTGTGTGGGAGACCTGGAAGAGCTCCTGGCTTCGGATTGGCCTAGCACCAGCCGTTAGGGTCATTGGGGAGTGAAACATCAGACAGAAGATATTTCTCTCTGTCTCTCCTCTTTTCTCTGTATATCTGACTTTGCAATAAAAATAAATAAATCTTTTAAAAATTACTGTAAAAAAATTCATGGTGCAGAACACACCATTTTTTTTTTTAAAGACAGATGCAACAGAATGAGTAAAGCAGAAACAAACTTTGCACCTTTACACCTGCAGCGACTTTGGCCCAGAGGTAGCACCTGTGTTGACATAAGTTGTTTATCAAAGCTCTGAGAGGAGCGAAACGTGTGTGGGGTGTGTCCTTCAGAGTAGGAGCAGGGCCCCGGGATTTTTAGGGTGCCACCACCCTCTCACTTTGCAGCTTATAAATTAGGATGTCGCTGAGTTAGGTAACATTTTTTTTTTTTGGATGATTTATGACATGAATAGAAAGGAGGGGGCCGGCAGTTAAAATCTACTCTGTTCAGATCAAGGTGCTTTTCCAACTAACTCCTTCCTGCTGCAGCGCCCGGGCTTGCATGGTGCTGTGAGGCAGTCAGCAAACGGGGTCCCCCTGCAGCTGATGCCCTTCTTCCGGAAAGGAGGAGAGGAGCAGGCAGTGGGGGTACGCTGACATACACCCACATCCCCGTCCCCTCTGAGGCCGCGGCAGAATCCGGAGTCTTTCTGACAACTGCAAATTGTTCTTGTGAGCTGTGGGGGCTCCTGGAGTTGCCACGGTCCTTGGGGGTGACGCGCTGGCTGCCCCCTGCCACCCCAGCCCCGAGAAGCTGTGACTGTGTCCCTTCCAGTCCCTTTCAAAACCTTGAAAAGTAGATCCCAGGGAGGGGAGAGGAAAGGCAGGGCATTAACCAGGGCTTGCCTTGGGGGCGAATTAAAGAGGGTTTCCCCTCCCCCCGACCCACCGAGGGGCGCCGGCCCTGGCGCATGTTTCGGGATGGTTAACCCCGGATCGCTCCCGAAGGAAAAGGGAAAGCAGACGCGCTTCTTCCTAAACTTAACCTGCTCTGGGCAGCTCCCGGCAGCCGATTTTAAAGGCTTCCTCACCCGGATCTTGGAGCAGAGACACCAGTCCCAACGCGCAGGCGGTGGCCCAGCCTGAACGCAGGGGGTGACTTGCAAATTCCAGGAACATTTGGCAGGAAACCCAGAAGGGGACCCCAAAGCTGAGCCTCCTCCCCAGGGCGCAGGCCCTTCTCGGCTGTTCCCTCACGCCGGGGCTCTCAGGGCGTGAGGGCAGCGCGCCGGGCCGGGGTCCCCTCGCGGGGCCGCACAGAGGGCGCGGTTCGCGGGGCTGAGGGGGCCCGGGCGCCGGGGCGGGCGCGGCGGCCGCCGGCGCGGGGAGGAGCCGCGTCGCGTCTTCTGGCTGGCGGCGCGCGTCCGCCCGGCCCCGCGGCGGCGGCGGTGGCTGCGCGTCACGCTCTCCCCCGCCCCGAGCCGACGAGCCGGGAGGCGGCGGCCGGGCGGCCACTGCTGCAGTGAGGCAGGTGGCGGCGACCGGCGGCGTCCGAGGCGGTGAGTGGGGCGCGGCGGCCTGGGCCCTCTCTCCCCTACCTGGTTCCGTCTTTCCCTTCCCGCCCCGCCGGGCTGGCTCGGGTCGCCGGCTTGGGGCCGCGGGCCGGCGTCCGGGAAGTGGGGGTGCCGGGCCCCGCGCGCTGGGGCCGCCCCTCGGGCGGCGGGGGGGACGCTGGAAGCTTCTCGTAGCCGACCCCGGAGGCCACGGGACCCTGGGGCGCCCTCTCCGGAGCCGGCCCTGTCAGCGCTGAGCCGCGCCGGGGCCTTCCCTTCCTCCGCCGGCCTCAAGATGGAGCTTGGACTCTTTGCCCCTGCGCCGCCCCGGGGGCCGCTCCCTCTCCCCGGCCCTCGGCCCCTGCAGGGGTTGGAGGGTTTGGGGCCGGCAGGGAGGCCCTGGCCGGCCGGGACCTGTTGCCCCGGGCGCCGTGCCCGTCACCTGAGCCGCCCTCTGGGAGAGTGCGGTGCGGGCCCGCCGGCATGCGGGGCGGACAAGCCGGCCGGGCGTCCCCGGCGTGCCCCGGCCCGGCCCCGGCCGGCCCGGCTTTTGTTTCCTCCGGAGCGGGGCTGTGATTCTTGGAGCGGAGCGCCCGGGTTTGTGAAATGACACCGGCGCGCGGTAACCCGAGCCCCCACGCCGGGCCGCGGATCGGCCCGAGCAGGTGACTCGGCCCCGGGCGGTTTCGGCAAGCTGAGCCCGGGGAGCCCGGGGAGCCCGGGGAGCCCGGGGAGCCCGGGGCCGGACGGGCCTGCGCGCCGAGCCGCTGCCGCCCCCGGGGCCCGGGGCTGCCCGTCCGCTCCGCGCGGCTCGTCCCGCTGGCCGGCTCCGGGCGCCAGCTCCTCCCCGCCGGCCCCACCTCTCGGGCCGCGAGAAGTGGCACGTTTAGCCGGTCAGCGGCCGGAGACCGGGTTTTGGCAAAACTTGGGCGCCGGTGGCTGCCGTTGAGGGTGAGGAAGAGGCCGAGTTTGGGGGCCTGGGCGTCCTTCAGCGGCCTGGCCGTCTTCCTCTTTTAGGTTTGGGCAGTGTGGCCGTGAGAACTCGGCCAAGTGACCAGGTGGTGGCGGCGGTGGAGGTTGAGATTTCAGTTGCTGTGGCTGTTTTATTGTTATTCCTGCTGCTACCGATGGCTCAGGAGGCAGGGGGCAGGGAACCCGCGGCAGGTCCTTTAGGTATGTGGCTTTCAGCCTTGGAACATTCTTTTCCTCTGGAAATAATAGGGTTGAACGTTTGCTGAGAGCTTCCCGAGGGGCAGGCTCCAGGCGTGTTTTGTCTTTCATCCGCCTGACCCTGGGAGGGGGTTCCCATTATCCCCATTTATAGAGGGGCATGGAAAGGTCGGGTGGCTGAGAGCAGCTGACTGGAATCTGAACTCAGATCTTGGGAAAATCAAGATTGGGCCCCTCTTCCTTGCTTTCCCGTCGTGGGAAACCCAGCTTGTGCTGGGTCCTGTCCTGCACAGTGTACAAGGTGCCGTTCTTGTTTATTTGTCTGATACTGAGCCCGTTACATCCTGTGTGATCCCCAATGGCTGAGAACTGAGTTACTGTCTGTCCTGACTCAAAACCCACTGGGTGTAAGTGCTGAGTTTGTCTCAACATTCCATACAAAGGTAGGCAACTTTTGTATCTAGGCCACTTGGCATTCCCCATGGTTATTTACAGCTATATCTTCCTAAATGTGTGTGTGTCTTTCCAGCTTTGGGATCCTCTGCAGAATCCTAGAGAATCCCTCACGTGCCATATTTCATTAACTGAATCCATGCAGTATGTCTGTACATCTTAAGACTTATTTTTTAAAGGTTTTGTTTACTTGAAAGACAAGGTTACTCAGAGGAAGAGATGCAGAAATCCACTGGTTCGCTGCCCAGATTCCCACGGCGCTGGGTGGGGCCTCAGCGGATCCAGGGGCTTCTTCCAGGTCCTCCACGTGGTTACAGGGGCCCAAGCACTTGGGCCATTTTCTGCTGCTTTTCTAGGCACATTAGCAGGGCGCCGGGTTGGAAGTGGAGCTGCTGGGACAAGAATTGGTCTTGTGTATCTTGTGTTAACTGGAATGAGGCTTTTCACCTGTTAACTTTCTGTTAGATACTTCACTTTTCTTCTTCCCTGTGCAGACGAGGTGGGAGGTCCAGTGTGGCACGGTGTGTCAGTCAAGGCAAGCCCCTGCGTTTTCTGTATCATATTTTGGAGTGTAGGGATCTCCTGGAAGGCCGGTTCTGGGCCTGTGGTGTCCTCCCTGGGGCCTGTGGTCAGGGCTGCTGTGTTATGCCTGCCGCAGGTACTTATGGAGTGCCTGGCTGTGTCAGTGCTGCGCTGGAGGCTGCTGACGGAGTGGCGATCGAGGCCGCAAGCCCTGCGGTCTCCGAATGGCCCTTCACACGCGGGAGGCCGGCGGCATGCCCTCCCCGTGTCATGGTAGGAAGTGATGCGTGGCAAGGAAAACCATTAGGAACAAGGGTGATGGATGTTTGGAGGGTGCCGAGGGGGGAACGCAGCAGAGGAAGTGGCTTTGGAGCGGAGAGCTGCAGCCCTGAGAGTGTGTGGGCCCCAGGAGACAGCGCACTGGGGAGAACTGGCAGGAGCTGAGGTCCTGGCTACTGGGCAAGCCTGGGACGAGGCAGGTAGTGCGTGGTGTGCCAGGTGGTGGCCTTTAAATAGGTTTTGGTTACTGTGTTGAAAAACACTGGCAGAGAGATCATTTGGCGTCAGGTTGCCAATGGCTTTGATGAAGGTGAAGTGAAGGATGGGGAAACTGAGGTGTCAGAGACTGCGCTGATGGCCTGAGAGGCCGCAGCTAGTGAGCAGAGATGGAACTGAACCCTGGTCTGTGTTACTCCAGGGCAAGCGCAGCCAACCTTGACCGTGGCCCCTGGGTAGATGGCTCCATGCAGTGTGCCCAGTACTTGGGGTTCACACTCACTACTGAGTGTGTTCCTTCCTGTCTGTACATGGCTCTTTGGGGTCTTTGCTTGACACAAGGTCTTGGCTTGATCTGTGTGTGTGTGTGTGTATAAGCCTTCCTCTTTTTTTTTTTTTTTTTTAATTTAAAACCAATAAAAATTCCTGGTGCATTGGTTCAACTGGGTAATTCTCTACCACCAAGTTTTGGGATCCCATGTAAGTACCAGTTTGTGTCCTGGCAGTTCTACTTCCCATCCAGCTCCCTGCTTGTGGCCTGGGAAAGCAGTCAAGGATGGACGAAAGCCTTAGAACCCTGCACCTGCACGGGAGACTTGGAAGAAGCTCCTGGCTCCTGGCTTCAGATCTGTTCAACTCTGGCCATTGTGGCTGCTTGGGGAGTGAGTCAGCAAATGCAAGATCTTTCTGTTTCTCTGTGAATCTGCGTTTCCAATCAAAATAAATAAATCTTAAAAATAAATTTTTTTTTTTTCGTTTTATTTGAAAGGCAGAGAGGAAGATCTTCCATTCATTAATTCACTCCCTGAATGACTACAATGGCAGGGCTGGGCTAGGTTGAAGCCAGGAGCTTGGAACACAACCTGCATCTCCTGTGCAGGTGACAGGGACCCAGCAACACATTAGCAGGAAGCCGGAAGCTGGAAAGGAGTCAGACTTGAACCCAAGCACACGAGGCTGGGATGCTGTTACCTGCACCAGATGCACATCCCAGTCTGAAGGTCGCATGGTTCCACATTTATGTTTCATTACAAACATTGACGTTAAGTCTTTCCCGTCTTGATTGGAGAGCACTGCCGGCATTGCCCTGGACGCAGTGTCTTAGAGAGCTCTGCAGGATAGCTGAAAGCACTGGCTGCTCGGGAAGAGTCGCTGCTGGCAGCGGGACAGAATGTCCGGGCAGAATGGCCTCTTCAGGTTTCAATCAGGGAAACGATGGGGAGCCTGTTCCCCATCTCCCCAGATTGGCAAACTGCTCGTAACCAGCCTGGAATCTGCCTAGGCCATCTGGGTTAATGTCCTGGGCCTGGCACCAAGTACCAAGGAATCTTGGCCACAGTTAGTAAGCGAGTTTTTTCCCTTTGGTCTCCATCTGGCACCTTCAGGAGGACAGATTCCACAGGCGCTGCCCTCACTCCGTGGGCCCGGCTGTCTTCTCATTGTGGATTTATTGCCGTCCGGCAGCAACATCTTCAGCGTGTTCTCTGCGTGTTGTGGGGAAGAGGAAGGAGTTGTGCTCCAGAGTTCCTGTTGAGGATCCTCTCCCTCCCTGGGAGCAGGCCGCCTCCCCCTGTTGAGGACCCTCTCTGTGCCTGGGGAGCAGGCCGCCTCCCCCCTGTTGAGGACCCTCTCCTCCCTGGGAGCAGGCCGCCTTGCCCCTCTGCTCTGGCAGCCATTTTGCTGCCCTGGTGTTTTACACAAGTCCAAGTCCTCATGTGCGACTGACTTAAGTCATTTGGTTTTCATATTCTGCTTTGTTTACTTACATCTCAGTATAGTTTGGATCAGTTCCCAGAATAACTCTTGCCCGTTTTTGCACTCAGGTGGCCGAGTTCTTGACTTACAGTGTCCTCTCAAGGGCCTGGCGACTCTGCGTTCAGGATGCACCCGTCACAGCCTGCCGCTCTGATGCGGCTGCCCGTTCACCTGACACGGTCCTCCACCCGCTCAGCGCACTGCAGCGGATCGCAGGCTCTTCCTCTGTGTTTAGAAAAGACAAACAACATTAGGCATATTTTCCTGAAGCAGTAGTTTTTAAAGTGAATGATTTTTTAAAAAGATTTATTTATGTCAAAGGTAGGGTTCCAGAGAGAGAAATTCCAATCACTGTCTCACTCTCCAAACGTCTGGGCAGAACCAACGCAGGAGCCGGGCGCTCCTGGGTCTCCCGTGCTGCCAGGCGCCCCACACTTGGGCCATATTCTGCGCCTTTCCAGTCACATGAAGGGGATGATGGACCAGAAGTGGAGTAGCTGGGCCTTGAACCAGCCCCCATAGGAGCTGCCAGTGTTACATGCAGTGACTTCAACAGCCCAGACTGTGTGAATGATTTTTTTTTTCAGAAAAGCTTATTTTTTGAACATTTA